CCCCCCCCCCACATACTTTATGACCAATAATGATGAAAAATATATATATATGTATGGAACTTAATATGAGATTATGTAGAAATTAATTACCGATTACGCTCACTCCTGTCTTAAGCAAAAAAAGAGACTTTGTATTTCGCTTGCTGCTCGATTACATGAAAGAGTAATCGATTCAACCCTCCTCAACCCCCCATATATCAAGAGCGCCAATTATCTACGTATCTTTTAGGTTTTGAAATCGTAAGTTGCTCCCTCTCTTAGGGGCGAAAAGGAAAAGCCCTTGGTTTTTAACACGTGAATTGCCCTATTTCAGTATGATGTCACATCAAAACAATCTATTGTTTAAACGCAAAGGATCATGGTCGTTGGAGGGAATCAAATAAACGCAAATTCACCGAAAATTGTTCTAAAACCCGTATCAATCCTCGAAGAGAAGTAGAATAGTCAGCAAACGCTCAGAGTATTTTTCAGTACATATTAACATATATTATATCTGAAAACCAGGTCATTTTAGATTAAACTGTTTCGCTAGGAGCAAATTTTGTTGAATTTTCTATTGGATTTGGCGATTCTATCCCCCACATAAACAAGCAGTGACGTCATAGTGAAATTGCTTACTATCAATCACGTGACTTTTTTGGAGTTGATTGGGGGGCAAACTGAAGCGGTTGACTGAGGGGCAACAAGCGGATGTTAAGTCAAAACATGTCAAAATAAGTCCTAAAACCATGGTATTTGAATATTTCTACGACATGAAACCAGAAAACTAGAGATCAAAACAACCTCTAAGATAAAAACGTAGCTATTACCGGAAGTGACGTCTATAAGCCTTTTCATAGTTTAAGAATCGATTCCACTGCGCATACGATTTTATCCCGAATTTCTCACCTTCCTTTGTCTAAACCTTCTTTTGTTCTTAATTAAACAAAAGAAGGTGAGAAATTCGGGATAAAATCGCATGCGCAGTGGAATCGATTCTTAAACTATGAAAAGGCTTATTGATAGAAACCTATAGGGCAATTACTTTATGCTTGAAGATTTTTAGATTAGATTAGATTTAGATTAGATTTAGATTGTAGTTATAGATGTTTGTCTTTCCTTTTAACCTGCCTCAAAAAGCCGTAAGCTACTTGCAGGTAAAAGTGTAATTATAAGTCTAGTAATTGAAAAAAATAAATGACAAAAAATACAACTAAACTTGGGATTCCTGTGGTTACATTTACTGCGCAGGCGCAAAGTAAGTCTTGACGTGGCTCACTCATTGTCGGCGGATTCCACGTTGAGTTTTTATCCAAATTGTCACAAAAGTACTCTTCAAAATACGTTGTTTCAAAATCATCTACTGTCTGTATAATCTTGGGGTCTTTTTAAGGTACTAATTACTTTCGTAGCCTGTCTTGGAAATTTAGAATCAACGCATTCGTTTGTTCTGAAGTAAACGACATGGGTCTGACCATATCAAGCCTCTTTACCCGGTTATTCGGCAAAAAACAAATGCGAATTCTGATGGGTAAGTTATCAATCAAGCTTTATATTTCAGTTGGATGTTTCATAGATAGGGTAATCGAGCTATTGACAAAAGTACGTAGTTTCCATGTTGTCACCAAAGATGCACCATGCATTATCCTTAGATAATTTCCTCTTTGTGTAGAATATCAGAGCCGATCGATATTAAATTTAAATTTTGCCTCCAGGCAAAATTGGATTAGAGCTAGAAAACTGTCATTTATTAATATTTACATATAACTCTAAAGTTTTAATTTGTCATCATTATTTTATATTCTCATTTTAAACCTCTGGACCCTTTGGAGCCTTGACTCATATATGGTTTGTTCCTAACATGTATATGGAATTTTGAATTACTGATGATGATAATAATACTACATGTCCCATACTTTGTTCTAATCACATAAGTGTGATCATAAGGTAAAACTACTTTATAAACGTAAATAGTTCAGTATGAATCAATCTTAAGTTAGTTATTACTCCTACACATGGCCAGAACCTAATTGACCTTCTACGGTAGACAACTATAAATAAGCACATAATTGACGACATTGGACAAGAATATTACTTCGCTCCACTCTGACCACAAAGCAATACATTTTTAACTAAATACTGTAACAGACCATAACAGTCTACACAATAATCTGCCAGTTGATCTCATTAGAAGACATTGTTGAGAGTGATCAGGACATTGACATTTCTTGGAACAAATGGAAACTCTCTTTTGCTTTACAGTAAGAGAGAGGACATAGCAAGTCTTGCTGAATCATTACATAACAACAGGAATCTTTTCACGGTGTATAATTTACCTTTTYATCATTACTGTTTCATTAGAAACACCGATGCAGCTCACACTAGTTTTTAGCTAGTTATATCTTCTAACAACAGGAAGGCTTTCTGAACATTTTTCAAAGGGAACTCATCTAACTCATTGCTTACTGGTGTCATGAAGCAAGGATGTTATAATTTATCTTCTGGCTAGGAAAAAGATTGTTAGCAATGACCTTAAATGGTCTTATATCACAAACTGCATCTCCAATGCTAATTATTATAGAATGTTCTGCGCTCTATACCAGAATTGTGTAGTAGCATGACTAACGTTTGCTGTCATCACCTTCTCTATCTACAACCCACCAAGTTCATACTTCAAGATTATTACTAGATCTCTACAGCATCCACTTAAAGTGTCTTAACTTACTTCCTCTTTCTTACTGGCTTGAAATCAAGGATCTACTTTTTTCTTCTATAACGTAATTACGGTCAGTATGTTTCAAACTTTGTAACAGGTTCCACTGCACGCTCTAGATCTCTTTGATCAACCTCTGCTAATTATCTTCAACCCAGCCATTGCAAAGCTTTGCTTTTCAGAAACTCTAAGCTGCTAAGTTGCTAATTGCTAAGTTTTTCCATATAATACTTTGCCGTCCTCAATCAAAAACTGTTCCTCTACGAAAACTTTCAAACTTCTCCTTTGGGACTCTTGTCCTGTCGTTTTTGTCTTCAACTAGTTTTTTCTTTGTCTTTTTTCCCCATGAGTACTAGTTGTAAAGCTAATGAATAGAATTAACATAAGAGCCATGTATATTTAACATTTATTGACTGGGGGAAACAGGCTTCATCTCATGTGATTACTGTCATGCACATCAATCAAAAAAAGCTCCCACATGTCGAAGTCAGTATGCCAATCTGAAGGCAAGAGAGCTAAAAGTTTATATTAGTAACGTAATTTTCAGTTTTTCATTTTCTGTTTTTCTTCTTCGATTCCAGTTGGTCTCGATGCTGCTGGAAAGACCACTATACTTTATAAGCTCAAACTTGGAGAAGTCGTTACAACTATTCCTACTATTGGTAAGTGTGTACATGGATATAATTTTCAAATGACAGTGTTTTTAATTCAAAAGGTTTTGCAATGTATCAAAATATTTGATATCAACCATATCCTCTGTCATTGATATGAAAAAAAGATATTTGACAAGGTACAAAATTATTTTGCTTTTGCTGTTATTGTACAGTGGGTAAGTTATTTCACAAGTGATAACCTATGACCATGATTCTTTATCACAGGATTTAATGTGGAAACCGTTGAATATAAAAACATTTCCTTCACTGTTTGGGATGTTGGTGGTCAAGATAAAATCAGACCTTTATGGAGACATTATTACACTAATACACAGGTAACTGACTTACTGACTGTTATCTTCTATTTTGTAAATGTTCTTGTGTGATTATTGGCTGGAAATGGATAGGTTATGCTGTCATTGATAAACCAATCCCCCCAACAATCGTTGTTGGTTTTTTCTCCAAAAAAATGGAAAAAGATAATGGTGTGACTAAAGTTTGGAGTAAAGTAAATAAAATGGTTCCATTTAATTGGCCATGGGTACCCAGCCTACCCCTAAGTTAAAGTGCATATCAGGGTTCACTGTTATTTGTTTTATATGAAAGTTCTAACCCTTAAGATCATATAATCAATAGCAATTATTCAAATGTGTTATGATTTTTTCTTCTTGAAATCAACTTTTTGAAAAGCAGTAAAATTCCATGCAACTACTTTTCAGTGATGTCATTCATGGGAATCTAGACTCAGGCTCTTCAAAGAGAAATGTAGTTACATGTAGAGTGTATATATTTCTTGGAAATAATGACCAATTACAGTAGTGAATACTCTGATGGAAGTGAATGACATCACATAAGTGCTAGGTGCAGCCATTTTTAGATTTTAGTTGTCAGATATGGTCCTGGGACAGAGTCACAATTTGTCTTACCCCTCCCCCGGTAGAGTAAATTTTGTACAATTTTGTGCAATTTGTTTTTTCGAAAATTGAAAATTGATTTTTAGTTTTTAGATTTCAATCAAAAAAAGCTATTTTTGGTAATTTTTAAAAATTGGTGAATGAAATTTAATTTTCTCATTTTCAAAAATCAAATGGCCGGAAGTTACACGGACCCATAAATATTCTTAGATCTGCACAATTGTAATCAAATAAACTGTTATATAATGTTATAAAACAAAATGTTGATTTAAATGTTGTTACTCTTGGACAGGGTCTTATATTTGTTGTAGATAGCAATGACAGGGAAAGAATAAATGAAGCCAAAGATGAATTGCATAGAATGGTAAGTGTATGTCAGATGTACTTTAAGTTGAAGTTTGAAAATACTTTTATCCAGATGATAAACATAAATAATAAAAAAGCAGTAAGGGATAGTAGTAGGGCAAAACTGAATTCCCAAATTACTCTAGATTCTAGCAGTCGAAAAGATAAAAAGATGGGTCCTAACCCATATAGGGTCCACTACTTAAGGGTTTAAACCCCTTTAATACAGTATATGCACCTGTGTATCATACACATACCCCGACATATGACATGAACCAAGATATATCAATACTGCTTTAATAAGCACAGTATATGCACCTGTGTATTATACACATACCCTGATGAACCAAGATAACAATACTTTTTTAATAAGCACAGTATATACACCTGTGTAGCATACACATACCCTGATGTATGTCATGAACCAAGATATCAATACT